AGGTCTTAACTACCCCTGTTGTGGTATTCATTTTGCAATATATATGTGTATCAAATTGTCACTTTGTATATCTTAAACTTGCACAATGTTACATGTCAATTGTATCTCAATAAAACTGGGAAGGAAAAACACTCATTGTCTTCATGGTGCTTGCTTAAGATATTAGAATCCCTTCCATATTGTGGGAGGATGCCAATAGTTTTGCTTCTATTTTTATTTTATTTTTTATTTTTTATTTTTTATTTTTTTGAGAGAGAGAGCACATGCAAATGGGGTAGGGGCAGAAGGAGAGATTGGGAGAAGAGGATCTTAAGCAGGCTCCATGCTCAGCATGGAGCTCAGTGTGGGGCTTGATCTCATCACCCCGGGATAATGACCTGAGCTGAAATCAAGAGTCCAAAGCTTAGCTGATTGAGCCACCCAGGAGCCCCTCTATTTTTCTTACTTGGACCATTCCTGCTGGGCACTGCAAACCTTGTGCACACTGTGACTACCAGCATGGCAGTGAAATTGGGGTCCTGGCCAAAGTGCTTGGGTGCAGCATGGGGTGCATCAATAAGTCCACCTCCCATCCTAAGGCTGGTTCATGAGCTCAGAGAGAATTCAGTTCAAGTCTTTTTTTATTTTTTAAGTTTGAGAGACACAGAGAGAATGCAAGTGGGGGAGGGGAGAAAGAGAGGGAGAATCCCAGGCAGGCTCTGTACTGTCAGCACAGAGCCCAACATGGGGCTTGAGCTCACAAAACGACGAGATCATGACCTGAGCTGAAATCAAGAGTCAGATGCTCAACCGACTGAGCCACCCAGGTGCCCCTTCAAATCAAGTCTTTAGATGGAAGGCTGGATGGATCCACATGGGCGGATGTCATCTCAGGTTTCCTGACAGGTCAGATCTATTCCTGGATATGTGGGTAGGCGTCAGCCTGGTAGGATGTTGTAGAAAAACACCAGTCAAATAAAATATGTTTTACCCTCAGTGAAGAGTAAAAAGACATCTCAAAAAAGGAAAAAGAGACCTAGGACCTATGGAAACATTTCACAGTAAAAGAAATGCAAATGGTCATTTCACATATACAGAAGTATCCAACCTCAAGGGGCGCCTGGGTCGCTCACTTGGTTGAGCATCCCACTCATGATTTAGACTCAGGTCGTGATCTCACAGTTGGTGAGTTCCAGCCCCAAATCAGGCTCTGCGCTGGCAGCACAGGTCCTGCTTGGGATTCTGTCTCCCTCTCTCTCTCTGCCCCTCCCCCACTTAGTCTCTATCTCTCAAAATAAATAAAAATAAACTACAAAACCAGAAATTTCAGCATACGTATTCCTTAAATTTTATAATTTTATTTTATATTTTTATATATTTTATATACAATACAAAATTTAAAATATATGTAATATAATAAAATATAGAAATTTAAACATTATATACTAAATATGTATGTTATATATAACATACAAGTTATATATATCATATATATTTACATATATTATACAATTTAAAATATATGTGTTATAGGGGGACCTGGCTGCCTTAGTCGGTGGAGCACAAAACTCTTGATCTCAGGGTTATGAGTTTGAGTCCCACACTGGGTGCAAAGATTATGTGAAAGTAAAATCCTTAAAAATATGTTATATATATATATATTTCATATATTTATATAACATAAAATATATATTTACATATACAATGGGTAAATTTTTATGTATGATTATATTCTATACATATATTATTATTATTTATCATTTCGCGTTCCTGAGTGAGGAACCCTGAAAACTATTGAGCTCTTTGTATATTTCTATTGAATCTCTGTCTGAGCTTGGAGATGGCTGTGCATGCAGAACAAAGAAAAAGACATCGGATTCCAGCGTCCTTGGATTCCAGTTCTAAGGATGGCTTCAACCACCCAGATTCCTCACCTTTGCCTTTTTTGCTTCTGTCAGTCTTGCCAAAAGGCCCGGGGTCTGGAATTGCTGAGGCTTCCTTGGTTCCAGGTTCTTCTCCTCCCTGGAGGCCGAGGGCTGGGAGACGAGGGCCCCAGCCCAGCCCTTCAGGGGACACCTCCTGGTCCTCGCCATGTGTCCACAGGCCTGATAACAGTTCTTGCACATTATCTGTGGGTCGAAGAGGACACTGGTCAGTGAGACAGCATCAATCACAGGCAGTTTTCAAAGGTTACTATCATGACAAGCGTTTTGATTTGGGAATTGTTTTTTCTGGAGGGCCCACAGACATGTAACCTCTTAAGTGTCTGGAACTTCATGATACAATCAATAGTCATACCCGCAACTCATTTTATTTTATTTAAAAAATTTTTTTATTTAAGTTTTTATTTAAATTCCAATTCACAACCCATTTTAAATCGGGAACCAAGGACAAAAGATCAAAAGGTCTGAGGAGGATGATACTCAGCTGTCCTTGCAGCTCAAATTTTGGATGCCGAGCAAACTCCATGGGACATAGTGAATATGTCCAGGATGATTGAGAAAGGATGAGGTGGACCAGAAGCTTCCCCCTCCAGCTGGCCTTTTTAATGCCCGAGGAGGCCCCGCTCAAGCTTTGGAGCTCACCGCACCAGCTGGAGACAATCCACTTTGATGAATCACTCTGAAGATATAAAGGGATTATTTCCTGTTAATTTTCCTCTGCATTTTTGTTTCATTTTTATTTGTTTTTTATTTTGCCACACATCTGATACCATCAACTATAATTTGATGAGTGTCATTTCCAAGCATTCAAGATATTTTAACATACATGTACATACTTTTTAAATTATATATTGCTTTCTGAAAGTGCAAGATATGTATATACATCCACAACTGTTCAATTCTGTATCATGACTTTTCTCTCAATTGTTTCTGAAGAATCTCCCTTTCCCACCTATACCTGTAGTTCATCCTGTTGCACCACTGTTTGCCATTTACTTGGGTCGACAGACTGGACTTTTTGGTTTTAATCTCTGATCCTATTCAAGGGGATTTATGTTGTTTCTAATATTTTCCTTTCACTGGCAATGCTGCCACGAACATACTTGGCCCATGTTCTTGTTTGCTATGAATTCCCTGTTGCTATAAACAAAAAGTGAGGAACCAAATTTCTGCATCATGGTTTTCAGGCATCTTCATATTTAGTGGCCATATTGTCCCCTGAAGGGGTTAAGCCAATCACAACCCACACTAACCCTGGAGGAGAGTCTTCAATTCCCCACATCCTTGGTACACAGAGTAATATCTGAATTTTATGCATGTGAGCTGGTGATGTTGTTTATTTCCATTTGTTTTATTCTCAGCAATGCTGTATGTAACATAATATCATGTTCATCACAGGCTTACTAATGCGTGAGCTGGTTTTTTTTTTTTTAATTTCTTTTTCAATTCACTGTGGATTGTCTCTCTTTCCTTTTAATGGGTAGATATTACTTTTTATATTTCCTGGATATATTTCTCTCTGAATGATGGGACTTGGAAGTATGTGCTTCCATTTTGTAACTGGTCTTAAATTATATTTTCAGACAAGATGTTCTAGTTTTAGTGCTATAATAAGTATTAGTAATGTAGGAACTTTATTTAGATCCTGGTTCAAAAAAAAAACAATTAAAAGATTTGTTTGAGTAATTTCAGAAAATGTGAATATGAACTGGGTATTAGACGACATTAAGAAATTAAAAAATAGGGGTGCCTGGTTGGCTCAGTCAGTAAAGCATGTGACTCTTGTACTCAGAATTGTGAGTTCAAGCCCCAGGTTGGGTGCAGAGATTACTTAAAAATAAAATCTTCAAAATAAAAAAAAATTAAGCAAAAAATAAATTTGTGTTGTAATAGACTGGAAGTCTTTTCATCTTTATATCCTTGAGTAGTTATTTACTAGAGATGAATGTTATGGCTCGCCACTGGTTGATTACAGAAATCCTGAATTCCACGATTTGCACTCAAGATTCCAGCTCCATTTCCCACCGAACCCCCATTCCAAAGGAGAAGTTTTCAGTGGATGATACAAGAATGGCAAAACACCGACACATTTTGAGGTGGCCTTAAAAAACAGATTCACTTTATTGTCTTTAATTGTGTGAATGCTTGAAATTTCCATATTAAAACCTTTAATGAGGGCGCTTGAGTGGCTCAGACAGTGAAGCTCAGGTCTTGATCTCAGGGTTGGTGGGTTGAAGACCCACATGGTGCTGAGCACTGTGAGTGAGGAGCCTGCTTGGGATTCTCTCTGCCCCTCCCCCCACTTGCACGTGCATTCTCTCTCTCAAAATAAATAAACTATTAAAAAGGCTTAAAAACCTTTAATGAAAATAAATCAATATTGGCGAACTATCTTCACCGTGAATTATTTTTAGTTCACTGCTGGTTTCACTTTTATATAAACATGTGCTATCTGTCAGAGGTACTCATAGGTAAGATTGACTTGTCCATGTTCCTACAGCGACATCCAGTCCTTAAAGGTCCAGGCAGAGTTCCCGCTCTCTTTGGCCAAGAACGGAAACACAGGAGAGAAGTACGCCCTTTGCATCAGAGGGGTCTGGTGGACATTTTTTTTAAGTCCGATTTTCCTGTGACTTACTCAGAACGAAATTATCAGTGAGAAGAATACTGACAATACATGTTTTCCAGCGATATGGAAGAAATCTTTCTGATAAACCTACCTAATCCCTGTACTCCTGGGAAGAAGGAACACGAATCCAGCAGGGTCTTAACTAGTGGTGGGTGGGAGTTGGACCAGAAGTAAGAGAGGGAGGGGTCCCCAGCCTTCCAGTCCCTCTGCCCCCTGGCTTTGTTGTCCCGCTTTTTGTCACCACAACAGGCCCCTGCAGAAGGCTCCCCTTGGCTGAGCGGGGCCCCCCACAGGAAGCACAAGCGGCCACGTTCCATCTCTCGCGAGAGCCCAGGTTTCCGAGCGGCAGGAAGGTGGAATTTTTCCAGCCAATAGGAGCGAGCCACGCCCAGCGAGGGCGCCTAGAAAAGGCAGGTGCCAGCGGGCGGTCTGCACTTGGGAGACCCGGCGGTGCAGGGTGAAGGCCGTCCCCGGGGGCTTCCAGATGGACTCTGGAACTGAGGGCTCAGAGCCCCGCAGCTCATCCGTGCGACACCCCACTGACCGGCCGCCCTGCCACCAGAACTCGTTCCCAGAAAGCGGCTCAGATGTGGAGGAGAAAGCCCTGGAAGGGAAAGAGGAGACGTTACTGTCGCCGTTGAGAGAGAGCCGCACCCAAAGGCGAGGTAGGAGTCGGGTGGGTTGTGTGGGGGGCTGGAAGGAGGGGTGGGGGTCAGGGTTGTATTCGGAAATCGGTGGTAGGAACATCACCCAGCTCCGGGGAGGCCTTGAGAAACGGGGCATTGATCCCCTGGGACCAACTTGCTCAGGTTCACCTCGGACCCTGGCTGAACACCCTCTGCTGAGAGAACCGTCCACAAATCGGGGTGTGGGATGGACTAGAGGGTTCTGCGGGCCTCGAGAGAGGCCACTCGCGCAAAAGGCCTCTTTTCCCCCGGGGTCAGAGCCCAAGACAGAGGAGGAGGATCCCAGGGAAAGTGAGCCCAAAAGGGACAGCTGCATTTCCGGATCAGGTGAGAGCTGGTTTTGCTGCGGAGGGGGCACCGGACGTGGGGCGGCTCAGTCTCCCCGGTCAGGGAACTGGAGCTCGGTGGCACCCTCGCGCATCCTGGGCTCTAGGAAGAGCTGGGAACCTGGCCTTGGCTGCCAGCCCCGGTCCTCGCGTGTGCAGGACGGATTAGGGCCGCGAGGGTGTCGGCCCGAGGCGGTCACAAAACCTCTGGCCTTGTCCACAGAATCGGAAGGCTGCTCCAGTTGGGAGGGCTCCGGCAAGAGGCAAGTCACTTCCAGCGACAGCACCTGCCCCCCGGCAGCAGGTAGGATCTTGCTTTGGGGCGGAGGTGCGCGGAGAGGAAGGCAGGCCAAGCACGCGGGGCGTGGGCACAGAGGGTTGTCGAGGGGCTGACTCGGGTGAGGAGGCCCTGGAATCCAGGGAGCTCTGGGGGACCGGTGCCGGGCCTGGCCTCGCCTCGTCCCAGAGCCCGGGCAGGAGGTTCACCCGAGGGGGTGGGGTCCCCGGGAATCCAGCTGGCGGGGCGCCCGGCCACGTGCTGCCTCCGCAGGGGCCTCTCCAGCAGGTGAGCGCAGTGTGACTCCGGGAAAGAGGAAGCGGACGACGCCGGACTCGGGCCAGGGCAGCGAGAGCGAGGAGACCGCGGGTGCCCAGCGCAGGAGACGCGGGGCGCGGGGCGCCGGGCGCGGCCGGCGGAGCAGGCGCAGGTCCCCGGGAGACCGGCCGCCCCCACTTCGGAAGAGGCTGGTGACCGCCGTGCGCGCCCTGTCTGAGGCCGTCCGTCAGGACGTGGCTGGGGCGTGGGAGCAGCGGGAGCGTTCCCCGCTGACCTGGGAGCAGCGCTCGGGGCTCGGGCGGCTCTGGGCGCCTCTGTGCGCGGCCTTGCAGACCGTCTACACCATGGCCAACCAGGCGGCCTACGTCTTCCCTGCAGAGAGCTGGCTCGTCCCAGCCCCGCCGCCGGGCCCCCGGGCTCCAGCTGGGGATACAGGAGAAGCCCGGGGCTCCCCCCGCGAGGGACACGGGGCCTCCCCGCCCGGGGTCGGGAGCGAGGCCGCCCGCGCCGGGGAAGGCACCCGCGCTGCCGCAGAGCTGCGCGCGCAGCCCCCGGGGTGAGACCAAGGCCCTGCTACCGCCCACACTGCGGGTACCGCGCGTGTCAGACTTGGGGCGCTCGGAGCAAAGGCACTGCGGACACCGAGTGCGGAGCTGACGAGCTCGTGTCCGATTTCGTGTTAGGCACTGTAGTGTGTTTTGAGGGTCTTAGGACGGCCCAGCATTATTTCATGATGAGAACAGGTATCGGGCTGTAATTCCTCTGTTGTTGCCAACGTCTCGCCAAGTAAACATACTTCTCTCCTCCCCTTTGATCCGAAAAGGCGCTAAGTCTTGGGTCCCCTGCCTCCAGTCTTGGAGGACTGAAGCCACAGGCCTGGGGGAGCATCTATGTGGAGGGATGGTTGTACTGTTCCGTTTGGTGGAGTCACCATGTCGGTTTGTCCTTCGCTTTTCAGTTACTCTATATGAAACCCGGTTCAAGATACATTAGTGTTATTGACCGTATGTGCTTATTCTCACAGCTGGCTCATATGCCAAATTTTAAGTTTTCTTCTATTTTGCAGATTTCAAGTTATCCTATTTATGAGAGGATATTTAAGATAGATGCTGTCATTTTATATATATTTTATGTACTTTCCAATTTGCATTTTACACTGGGATCATGTAGTCTTTCATCTGTAAATGTGCAGAATTTTATGTAAGCAAAATAAACCTTTTTCCGTATTGTCTTGTCCTTTGGTTCCTAATTTCTACATAACAGCGATAAAATAAAAATGCTGCTCATGGATTGTAGGTCTTAGATAACTTCATATTTATCTAGATGGAGTTTGTTTTATGGCAAGTGAGGGTTAGGAAGCAGCCTGTTCTCTTTTCACCTCTACTGCATTTCCACCTTGACTTTGCTACACCTAGCAGCTCTTATTGGAGGACGGGAATAGCAGTTAATCATCCCACTGAATGGGGCAATTCAATTATAACATAAACCAGTTTGAACCCATGCCCTGGCTTCAAATTATACACAACAAGTGCCTGCATGTGTACAAAAAATTACAATTGGCAAGTTACATTTGGGGATTGCAGGTGCAATTACCAAAGGATGAAAAATAAAATCTTAAAAGAATAAAATAATACAACAAAATAAAATAAAAAACAGAACACCTGGGAATAAATCCAATAAAAATGTATCAAGTGTATATGAGAAACCATATAAGATGTCAGAAACATATGAAAGTAGACATAAACAAATATAAAATCACATCATTGTTCTTAGGTAGAAAAACTTCATATTATCAAACATCAATTGTCCCTAAGCTAATTTATAAATTTAATTTGTTTCTGAAACAGATACCACCAGTTCCTTATTGAATCCAAGCATGTTATTACAAAAAAAAAAAAAAAATCCCTACAGCTGAAAATACAAATAAAAATATGCAAGAAAACTCTGAAAAAGAAAAAAAGATGAGAGTAAACTTTTAGTTAAGCAAGAGCTCCAGAGATCTCCTGTACAACATCGCACATATAGTCCTCAATGTATTTGTACACTTAAAAATCCATTAAGAGTGGGGCAAGTGGACATGCACCCCAATGTTTAGAGCAGCGCTATGGACAATAGCCAAATTATGGAAAGAGCCCAAATGTCCATTGACTGATGAAGGATAAAGAAGTGGTATATATATATGCAATGGAGTACTACTCGGCAATCAAGAAGAATGAAATCTTGCCGTTTGAGACAATGTGGATGGAACTAGAGTGTATTATGCCAAGCAACATAAACGAGAGAAAAACAAACATGATTTCACTCATATGTGGAATTTGAGAAACTCAACAGATGAACGTAGGGGAAAGGAAGGGAAATTAAGATAAAAACCAAGAGGGAGGCAAACCATAAGGGACTCTTAAGTACAGAGAACAAACTGAGGGTTGCTGGAGAAGGGGTGTGTGGGGGGAATGAGTTTTGGGTGATGGGCATGAAGGAGGGCACTTTTTGGGATGAGCACTGGGTGTTATGTGTAAGAGATGAGTCACTGGGTTCTACTCTTGAAGCCAAGACTACACTTAGTTAACTAAAATTTAAAATTTTTTTTCAACGTTTTTTTTAAATTTATTTATTTTTGGGACAGAGAGAGACAGAGCATGAACGGGGGAGGGGCAGAGAGAGAGGGAGACACAGAATCGGAAACAGGCTCCAGGCTCCGAGCCATCAGGCCCAGAGCCTGACGCGGGGCTCGAACTCACGGACCGCGAGATCGTGACCTGGCTGAAGTCGGACGCTTAACCGACTGCGCCACCCAGGCGCCCCTAAAATTTAAATTAAAAAATAAAGAGGGGTGCGTCTGGTGACTTAGTTAAGCGTCTGACTTTGGCTCAGGTCATGATCTCATAGTTCCCATGAATTTGAGTCTGCATTGGGCTCTTTGCTGTCAGCAAGGAGCCCACTTCAGATCTTCTGTCCCCCTCTCTCTCTGCCCCTCCGCAGCTCATGCTCTGCCCCTCTCTCTGAAAAACAAACATTTTTAAAAATCCATTATAGGGTAGATCTCATTTTTAAGTATTCTGAAAAACAAAGAAAAAAGAAAAAATGGATAGGCAGCTCTATGAAACATGTTTCTTAAATAAGACTGATAGATGAGTAGAGATAAGAATTCAAAAATAGACCAAAGTATATGAGGCTAATAAGCAATAAGAAATTGGGGATGACATCATTAATACTTGGGGTTTGGTAGTTGATATTACTTGATATTACTATCACAAAGGTAAGAAATTGATTTACTTTTCACATCCTATAATAAGGTAAAGGTCCAATGAAAAGTACAACTGCATGTTAACAAACAAAACGCTTATTTTCATTGCAGACTCTGCCTATTAAATGGAAATCAAAAATACACTCACTCCTTCCTGTTAGAACAGTTGGCTCAGTGTGAAGGTCATGCAGTCAGTACATGCAGGAGGGAGGCAGCCAGATCTTAAGGTCTGGGTTTATGATTCTGCAACCTCCCCTTCCTGAAGAAATAATCATTTCATCCAGAACTCCAGTGAGAGCACAGGTTTGGGAAACTGAGAATATTGAAAAGCTTTTCTTCCTCCCAGTTTCTACTTGCCAAAAACGAATTATAAGTTCCAAATTAGCATCTCTCAGGTGTTTGGGAGAAGCTCTCTCTTTTCCACAAGCCCTGGAGGTAGACAAGTGTTCAAGAGGAGGGCAGGAAATGCTGAGGTCTGATAGATGAGGGACTGTTGAGGAAACACTTGAATTTCAATGGATTCTCTGCTCTCTTGAGAAATGCTACCCCAAATAGAGTTGTTTCTAATATTCAGACCACTAAGGTGACCTATCATAGAAGTTATAAGCATAGAAATGAAATCAAAGTATATGCAAAGGATTTTCAGAGTTACAATCAAAGAACATGCCAACAATTATTTACATCAGGGATCACTGGATTATTTGCACAACTCAGTGACAATATATTTGGAAGTGTACATGACGTGGAAATTTGTTAGGAAGATATGCTTTACCAATTTTGATCTCCCTAGTGTTAAGAGGAAGTCTAAACAGAACAATATCTACAAAAAAGGGAGAAGTTTCTGAGACCCTCACAAATAAAAGCACCAGGATCAGATGATGAAATGGGCAGATTCAATAATTCCTTTAATGCTCAGATAAGCCAATACTCATTTAAATTAATTTTTAAGATGTTTAAATTTATTTTGAGAGAAAAAGAGAGAGAGAGAGAGTATAATGGGGGAGGGGGGCAGAGAGAGAGGGAGAGAGAGAATCCCAAGCAGGTCCGGACTGTCAGTGCAGAGCCTGACACAGTGCTGAGTATCACCAAATGTGAGATCAGGTCCTGAGCCAAAATCCAGAATTGGAGGTTTAACCAACTGAGCCACCCAGGGGCCCCAATACTCATTTAAATAGCATTTGGTGGTTATATCTTTCCACACCTATATTTTTGCTGAGTTTTCAGTCATCAGCTCTAATTGCCTTTATTATTAAAAAAAAAATTTTTTTTACATTTATTTATTTTTGAGAGACAGAGCACAAATTGGGGGAGGTGCAGAGAGAGAAGGAGACACAGAATCCCAAGCAGACTCCACTCTCTGAATCGTCAGCACAGAGCCCGATGCGGGGCTTGAACTCACAAACCGTGAGATCAGGACCTAAGCCCAAGTCGGATGCTTAGTCGACTGAACCACCCAGGCGCCCCTAATTGACTTTATTATTAAGAAACATGAGTTCAGGGGCGCCTGGGTGGCGCAGTCGGTTAAGCGTCCGACTTCAGCCAGGTCACGATCTCGCGGTCCGGGAGTTCGAGCCCCGCGTCAGGCCCTGGGCTGATGGCTCAGAGCCTGGAGCCTGTTTCCGATTCTGTGTCTCCCTCTCTCTCTGCCCCTCCCCTGTTCATGCTCTGTCTCTCTCTGTCCCAAAAATAAATAAACGTTGAAAAAAGAAAAAAAAATTAAAAAAAAAAAAGAAACATGAGTTCAAACTAATCCTTTGTTTTCCCTACCATAAATACACAATCAAATACTCCCCATGTCTAAGTCAGACATTAGAACCATAATGGTGGACAATCCTTAGTTCACAAATACACATACACATCACACATAGATGCAAACACATGTGCATATGCACAACACAATACTCAAATGCACGGCCATATACCCTCACACAATCACACCCTCATACACTCCATAGTAAACTCACACTCATGCACATGCTCATCAAACACAAGCACACACATTTACACACTCGCCTGTACTCCCACATTCCCAGTCCCGTGTGATTACATTCAAAGGGCCTGCATGCACATGTGTATCTCGACAATGTGCTCATATGTTGGAAGAATACAGGCATCTCCTGACCTTGGCTGCCAGACAATAGAAGCACTTTCCACCTCTTTTACTTCTTCCATCCCTACAACAACCCCAAAGATGATATTTACCACGTGAAATGTCTTAAACTGCTGTGAGCATTGCCACTGCAGGTCCAGGAGAATGGGGCCAAGTTGGAAGGCTGCAGGTGTGTTAGAGCAGGGTCCAAATGAGGCCAGAGGGAGGGGGTTATAAGCAGTGTGCAGAGAGCATGGGAGCGCGGAGGAATAGATGGAAAACTCTTCAAAGGCATATGATGCCATAGTACTTGGTAAATACAGATAGGGACAGAAAAGCAAGGGGGAAAGGCTAAAATACACCCTGAAGTATGGGGTCAAAGTCAGGGACATCAGTATGAGCACAGAGTTGGCTGTAGATATGCGAGTAAAATCACTATGAAAAATAACTCAGTAAGCTAATAGGATATAATATTGATATAAAAAAAAAGAAAAAGGGCTCATGAAATAAATAGCTTTAAAAAAATAAAATGAAATAAACTGACCAGGTATGAACCTAACAACGTGTAAAGCCAATATGTAGGAAAAAAATAAAACATTCCTGAAATATATGAAAGTAGAAGTAAATGAATGTAAATTTATATAATGTTCTTGGGTAGAAAAACTCATTATAAAAAGGTCAATTCTCCTTAAGCCAATTTATAAATTTAATTGGATCCTGATATAGATACCATCAGTTAGTTTTTCAAACTAGCAGTGTTATTGCAAAAACCTTACAGAATAATGAACAAATAAGAATAGCCACAAAAACTCTAAACAAAACAAGACAAAACAAACAAACAAAAAAAACCCGAGTATGGTTATCCTCCTGAGATGTTTATTTATGAGCAGGGTA